GAAGGGGTGTCTGTTGATACATCCAAGGTTGAGGCAGTGCAAGATTGGGCACAGCCTAAGAGTGTGTTTGAGATCCGCAGTTTTAGCAGTCGAGTTCTTCAGTGGCCGAGTTTGAGGCTACTTTTACCAGTCTGTCCAGGTTTGCACCTGAACTGGTGGCGTCTGAGGAACGCCGTTGCTATGAGTTTGAGCGGAAGTTGAGGCGGGGCCTCAAGTGGGGAAATGGATTTGAATGATTGATAGTGTAACTCAGACAAGGTAAGACATTTGTGGATGACATATCATTTATTGAGATATAGTGTCTATCAAACCAATTGCTGACCAAATAATAGGATTAAAGTTAAAAATTTACATTCTAAAGATTGCTAGCAGAATGAGCTATAGCAATGATGTTTCAGTAAGCTTATTGGTTAACTTCATATTGGTTAGAAAATGTCAAATTAAAGTAAAAGGAATCTAGGGAAGCATTCGCTTAACAAATTAAAGCAAATCCAACATAAAACTTTTATGTTACCAAGACTCATGACTCTTGATATACTTATACCACACAAAAGCAAATTCAACCTGTACATATAATAAAAGGATGAATTCTAAGTCTTCACCTGAAATTGGGGATATTCAGCAACTTGTCAGGTATAGGTCCAGAGAACAAGTTATTTTCAATGTTCCTAATTAAGAAGGGAAAAAACAGGTTACGAGCTGCTAAAGTCAAATTATTTGAAGTCATAAAGCAAGACAGGAGAGTACAGATCAGTCAGGGGAAGATCTTGTAGAGCATCAAGGACCCCAACGAGTTGATTGTTCTGCAAATGCCTGCATCACCCGAAATATATATAACTCAAGAAGATAAGTGAAAATGAAAAAGTAAGAAACTTTATCTATATAATTACTGACAGTGTAGTAAGAGATGACAAGTTCCCCATAGAAGGAGGCAGTTGACCACTCAAATTGTTACCTGACAGATCCCTGCAAAGCAATAAACAATCAGAATCGAAACTTACCAAAGTAACCATTAATGAATGATAGCAAAATGACAGGGATACCATACAAGTTTATCAAACCCATAAGCTGTTGAAAGGCATCTGGTATTTCTCCGGTTAAATGGTTATCATTAAACGACCTAAGAAATGCATACAAAAATGTGATGACATTTCAACAACTTGAAGTCAAATGAACACAAATTGAATCGAACTTACAAGTCCGACAATTGACCTAATGCTGACAAATTTTCCGGGATGCTTCCAGTGAACTGGTTACCCGAAAGAAAACTAATCGTCAAAGGAAAAACAGAACTTCAGTAGGCAATGTGCATCATAATGATATAGAAATGACACAAATAATAATAAATTTTGGCCAAACCAGCTTATCAAAATATTGATTAAAAAAAAAAAGGGGTTGAAACGTACAAGGTCCTGATGGTAATGGGCAAATTGGATGGAATACTGCCTCCAATGTGGTTGTTGCTCAAATCTCTGCCTCATTATTAAGTAGAAAAGGCAAAAAGGCACACAATTAGTGTTAGGAATCCAAAAGACCTAACCAAGATTAGTGAGAAACAAAACACAAAGAAGAACAAATGTACAATAATGATAAATCACACGCACACACAAAGGACATGAAGTTTATGTGGTTCACCCCAAAACTAGGTTTACGTCCACATCCGGTGCTGTTTCACTATGATCAGAAAGGCTACAAGAGATACAGAGATAGCCACTCACCCCTATACTACTTATACAAAGAATTTGGGCAACAAGACCCTAAGATTTTTTTGATCCATAAAAGCCTCAATATATTAGCAAGTATCAAAAACTGCAAGAAATTCATTATGTTTAGCCCAAGATAGTTAATTCTTCCACCTCTATAGGGGGCCCAATCATTCAACTAGTATGTCAACTCATGAAGGACCTATGCTCTGAAACAAAGCCATAGATATAGCTTCAAGTAAGTCTCACTAACAGCAGCTGCTATTGAATCTAGACAACTTTGATTGACTATGAACCTCATCTTATATCCCTCCCCATGTTATGTAAGAGACAAATGGAATATATTCATAAAATGTTGCTTACATTTGAATGATAGAAGAAAAATTTCCTAAGTCATTTCCCAGTTCACCGCCCAAATTCGCGCCAGTGAGAACTCTGTCAACCCAAACAGCTTAGAAATCAGAATATAAAAAACTTCCTACTAGGATATAACATATGGAAATGGTTACCATACATTCCAGTTATGTTGGCATTGACGCACTCTACACCTTGCCAACCATCTGCACACGGGTCTCCTCCAAATGGCATCCACCCAGGAAGAATCGGGAAGCCCAAAGCAGCATATAAACTATTTATTGCAAAAACTGCAAAAATAAAATACCAAATTAATTATTAAGAAAATCACTGGAAAATCATATACAATTCCAGAATGAAGAAAAACAGTAAACTGGAAAACAAAATACTGAATGAATTATGGTACATTGGTAATCACTATAATCTATATACATTACAAACAGATCGGAATGGAATGAAAATGAAAATTAAAAAGAAAAAAAGAAATGGGAGTGGTATGATTTACCATCGCGAGGGTCGGTTGTTCCACGGCACATTGGCACCAAGAAAATTGTCATCAGCCCCGAGAAAATCCAGACATATCTTTCCCAAATTATACAGCCCATTTCATCAATTGCCACCCCAGATTTTCTATAATTTTCTTTCCTTTGTATACTACTTTTTTTCTCAGAAAACCTGACAAATACCCCAGAAAGTCAAAATCTCAAAGCAAATGAAATTAAAAATTGAAAGAAAAGCAAACCCACTAGTCTCTAAACACCACAAACAATTTACAGATGCAACAAACAAACAGACCTCTCAAAGGGTTCACGTAAAATCGAACCAGAGGACAAAAGAAGAATATAATTTGAACTAGTAAACATCCAAAAAAGGAAAAACCCATAAAAACCCAAGTGGGTTTTACAGACAATAGATCAATATATTGATCAGCACAGATTGAATAAAACAAAACCCAAGTAAAAAACAGAGTTCGTGATTCAAGAAAAATGAGAAACCCTAACCTTGAAAAGAGTGAAAGTGTTGTCCGAAGCACGAAGAGTCGGGAATCTGAGAGAGAGAGAGAGAGAGAGGGGTCTCTGTGAGTGTGTGTGAAACTGAAAAGCAAGCACACTGAGCAGAGCCAACTTTGTACATCTTTATGATTTAAATATGAAAGGAAAGGAGATATGTATACCATAATACTTTTAAAATGAGAAAAGGATTGATGTAATTTTTTTAAATTCAAAAAAAAAAAATAATAATAATAATAATAATTGTACCGACGTACCGTTGAGTGGTGCCCTAGTAGTGGCCGTTTGTTTTTTTTTTTTAACTTAAGTTTTATCTTTAAAAGAGATTCATGGAAAATGTTAATTTAGTAATTTTTTAGTTAATTAGTTAAAATATGAGTTTAAAAAAATTAGTATGTTTAGAATTAGTTTTTGACTTTTTACGAAAAGATGTGTAAAAAGTAAAGAGAATCTTTAATTTTTTGGTGCTGTTAGGTTGCACACCATATGCAACCAACACAAAAGGTGTAAGTGGAAGGTGTAAACATAAAACAGGACAGCAAACAGAAAGGCATAAGTGTAAGATGTAAGTTGCACATTTAAGAAAAGTCCTTAATTTTTGGGCAAATTGCATATACCTCCCTTGAGGTTTGGCTAAATTACAGATGCTCCCTGAGGTTTCGGAAATTACATCGCGTCCCCTAAGGTTTGTATTTTCATAACAATTTGCCCACTGAGGTTTAAATTTCATAACAAATTACCCCATAATTTGTTATGCAAATATAGCATTCAGGGGGAAATTTGTAATTTCTCAAACCTCAGGGGGGTATTTGTAATTTGGCCAAACCTCGATGGGGTATATGTAATTTGCCCTTAATTGTTTGATATGAATTGTTGATTTTTTGATTAATTTAATAATTTTTTGACTTTTTAATTAAAAATGAGGGTTCTCAAACGAGGCCTATCGAAATAAAAACAAAATTTAATTACACTATAAACAAATTTAAGATACGATCAAAATGTAGAGTGAGATTTCTAAATCTGAATCACACCTGTAAAGAGGAATGTTTTCTATACTGAGCTACCACCCTGGTGGTAGTAGTGGCCAATGTTTGGGTTTGGGTATTTTCACTTTTTGATATTGCAATTAGGTACACCAAAATCAAATTAGAATGTCATGATGACATTGGTGGGTTGTTTGGTGCAGTCTTGAGCTAATTATAATTTATTTCAGTTTAAAATTTTTTGTTAGATTATTATAATTTTTCTTTTACAGTTATTAAATAGAAATAATTTTAATAATTTTAAAAAAAAATTATCTATTTTACAAGATGGATGAATGATGTTTTTAATTTTTAAATTTAAGACTATGTTTGACATGTGAGGTTATGACTATTTTAATTACAAAAAAAAAAAAATAGATTAAAAAGTCAATAAGATAAAATGTCACATTTAAACTATACTCATTTCATTTTTTCTCTTAAGAAAGTCAAAAAACTCAATACAAATGAACCTTTTTAACCCAAACTAAAATAGTTTAAAAAAATCAAAAAACTAATACACTACCCAAATGAAGGTTAAGTTATACTACACAGACTCCATGTAGTTTAAAAACAATGGATTCTAGTTTAAAAACAATGGATTCTTTAATTATGTTTGTTTGATTGTGGTGTAAAAGTAAATTTATTGATTAAAAAAGTTAACTTATTTGGTAAGCTTATTTTTCGTTGGAAAGTTAAATGTTAATTTGTTTGGTACTTTTTGTACTGGTTTGGCAAAGGTTACGGAACTAAAATTGTCAAAAAAAAAGATCAAATAAATTAAAAAGTCAATAAAATAAAATGTCACATCTAAATCATAATCATTTTATTTTTTTCTCTCACAAAAGTCAAAATAGTCAAAAAGTTCATCTCAAACAAAATTTTTTAGCCTCAGACTAAAATAACTAAAAAATTAAAAAATCAACCCACATTCCAAACAAATCATTTGTATTTTTTTTATTAACATTTTATAATGGTTAAAGTATATTTTTTTTAAAATGAAAAATGAGTTTATCAAACGAATTAAAATTGTTTTAGTTAATAAACTAGCTTTCAATCCACAGTTAGCTCATTTGACCAAAGTAACCGTTTTCCCTTTTCACCCCCCAAAAAAACAAAAAAAATTAGTGTGATCTCCAATTGAAAAAAAAAAATTGTGATATGATATTATATGAAATTCAATCCAAATGTCACACCTCGTTTGGCATGTTGTCTAAAAGTCTAAAAGTTATTACAAATTTTTATATTACTTTTTTTTTTTTTTTGCATATTTATAAAAAAATTAAAAAATTAATTAAAATAATCAATTCTCAAACCAGAAGTCTCAATAGAACAAATATGTTCGCTTTGATTGACTAGTGCTATGAGGGAGCTCATATAGTATTTTGGGAAGTAAGTTAAAAACCATTTTTTAGTTTTTTTTTGACTTTTTAAAAAAAAATGTAAAAAAGTAGAAAGGTGATATGACTCAAAAAAATTAAAAAATTAGCTTTTAACCAACTTGTGAAAATAATCAATCCAGACTAAACATGTTTATAGTGTTCGGTCTGACTTTCAAATTAAATAATAGTGTTTTTCTTTAAAATGACATAAAAAGAGAGCGAAAACAAAGTGATTACATGAAAATAAATTAAAAAAATAAGAATGTTAGGTGCATAAAGGGTATTGTGTACAGAATGCACAACCCTTATGTGAGAGGGTTGCGAATTATGTGCACAATACTCCTTGTGCATTTAGCATTCTTCTTAAAAAATTCTCTCACTTATTTTGTTCTACTAGGTCTATTAAGGGACCTCAAAATTTGATAAAACATTTGGAGCCTTTTAGCAATTTTTGTTAACAAAATGTTACCAAATTATGATAATTGAAAGGCTAGTCATTTGAAAGGGAAAATACTTCGTAGCTCGAAAAAAACTTGGCCCGAAAATGGCTCGAATATTCAAAACGATGTCGTTTTGGGTTTTTTTCTTTTTAATTTTTTTCTTTCCCCTCTCTGAAACCGACAGAAGAAAGAAGAGAAGAAGCGAGACAGACAGAAGGAGAAAAGATGGAGAGAAGGAGGAGGAAGAGAAGGAGAATGAGAAAAAAAAGGTGGAGAGAATGAGGAAAATAAGAAGAAAAACAGAGAGAGGGATCTATAGACACACAGATCTATGTATATATACACAGATTTGACGGTGATAACGTACAGAGGAGATGGTGATGGCGGCGCCGGTGGGTGGCGCTCTCTCTCTCTCTCTGTTGGTGGGTACTCTCTCTCATATATATATATATATATATGTGTGTGTGTGTGTGTGTGTGTGCGCGCGCGCGAGTTGATGGTTCTCCATCAATTTGTTTGTAAAGATCTAATTAAACAAGATCTGTTATTTGTAATATCTGTGTATTAATAAATAATTTTACAGTGATAAATTTTTCATTACTTTTATTTTGTATGTTTAAGTGTATTGGTGTGTTCCTGTGAATGAATAAGCTAGTATGTATTATGTGAGTGTAAGTGTAAGAGTGAGACGTAGTAATTGATTAAGTGGTCTGAAAAAAATTGATTAGTATTATCATTTATAAATTTATCACTGATACCAAATCTGAGGAAGTGGTGAGAGTAGTGACATAATGAAAAATGATATTGTTTTGCCTGAAAAAAAAAATGGTCGGATAATTGTCAAAAATCATTGTCGGAAAATCCCAGAGAAAATTCTTAACCTAGAGAAAATTCAGTTCAAATGAAAAAAAAAATAATCGAAATAGATGTTCAAAATAAAGAGAATCCTTGACAGTCTTGTGATGCAAAATAAGCCCCAATCCAAGACCATCCATTCCTGCATGTCATAGTAGATAGTTAAAGATGATATATGGTCTGAATCGAAAGAAAAAAATCAGTAAATCACAATCAATGAGATTAGATTTGGCCATGATTGACAGGCCACAATTTACAAGCCACAATTAATGAAATTAGATTTGGCCATAGTTGACAAGTCACAATCAATTAGACTAAGGGATTGTTTGGGGTGTCCTAAATAAGTGCATTTTTTGCCTTTTTGGACTAAAAAGTTGAGGAAAAAAATATGGATGTTTGGGTTAACTTTTTGACTTTTTATGAAAAAATGTGTATTAAAAAATTATATAAATTAGTGTATAGGAGAAAATTAGTATTGGGAGTTATGCAGCCGTAATTTTTGACTTTTAGTGAATAGTGATAACTTTTTAACTTTTTGAGTAATTTTTTGACTTTTTAACTTTTTTTGCACTTCCCAAACTTGGCCTAATTCTATTGAGTAAAGCACTTGAATCTCACTATAGATTTCACTTTATAAAAAACAAGATTGATTCGATAATTATAATTATATCGTTATACTTGTTTTTAAAAATAGATAATAAATGTTATTTTAAAAATTTTTGTTAGTTTTTTATTGATAAAAATATATGTCTATTGTTATCAAATCATAGATAAAACAAAATCAATCTCCAACTGAAGAGAAATTGGATCTTTATAGGGAAAAAAAACTAACAAATAAACAAAAATGAATTATGAACAAAAGACAGAATTGATTAGGCCTCGTTTGGGAACAGACTAATTTTGTAACTTTTTAGCTATTTGGCTAAAAAGGTAGGTAAAAAAAACTTGTATGTTTGGGATGACTTTTTGGCTAATTACGAAAAGATGTGCAAAAAGTAGAGAGAAAAGAGAATCTTTGACTTTTTTATATGAGTTGTTGATTTTTTGGTTAATTTAGTAATTTTTTGGCTAATTGACTAAAAAAATAAGTCCCTAAAATAAAACTATGGGCCCCACATTCAAAATATTGATCACACTTAAACATGTAGACTGTGATATTTTAAATCAATCAAAATTTATGTTGTATTTAAACAACTTAAAAGTGTTTTAACAAGAAAAACATAGAATAGGTGAGGAGTCTTTGTTCA